AGTGACTGAATGCCTTATCTGATATATAAGGGAGTTCAACAAATGAGTGTTTACTTGAAAATGCTTGAAAGCTTGAGCCTGTTTAGAGTACAAGTAGAACAGCATATCTAAGGCCATTATCTTGCATAAGGACACAACATAGTCATTATGAATCTTAGCCCTGAATAGTTTTGTGCCTTCCAAGGCATTTGGAACTCCCTTTAGCAACTCCCTGCATTTTGGAAGATGATGCTTGAGCTCTTTTTCTTAATTTTGTGTGCAGAACTGTATTTACACCAGTAAAAACATGTGAGCTTGAGGCAGCAACAACTCTTCCTTCTGGCCAATAAAATGGGAAGCTGGTCTGTGGCCGAAAGGTCTGGAGGATGTTTTGCAACAATATGTACTTACAGTCTGGATTAATGTTCTGCAGCCAAATCTCAATGCCAGTCATTGCCATTTTATATTTTAAAATAATTAATTGCAGACTTCTGTGTTAAGCTGTTTTTTTCCCCAGGGACTGACCACCCCTTTGCTCATACAGCTGCCACTAACATGCCCTGGGGTCTTTTTTTTAAAGTCTCACACTGTCAAATATAAATTCTCTCTTTACCCTCAGCTACAACCTTCACCACTTCCTTTTCACTCCTTTCTGGAGTCTAGTTTAAGGCTGAAACTTACCTACCCAACAGCCACATCACCAGGACTATTCCTTCTGGCCTTGCTTTTGAGCAGGTAAAACATGCAGAAGGAATATCCTAATGTGATAATTAAAACCCCCAAACAGTTAATCTAATACCCAATATTTTGGGTTACATTTTGCTAGCAAATTAAAGATGCCCATGACCACTCATGCATGCAATGGGGCCAACCAGAGTGTTAGGTACCCAAGAATTTGGACAAAACCTCCTTTCCAGCTGACTCTCACCGCAGTGCCCTGCTTTTGGATGGGATAGAGCTGATTTTCTCCTTAGTGGGTAGTAAATGCTGCATTTTGAGTTCAGTATGAGAATGGTCTTGACAACACACTGATGTTTTACTTGTTGCTGAGTGGTGCTTATTCTAAATCAAGATTTTTCTGTTTCCTATACTCTGCCAGCAAGGAACTGCACAAGAAGCCATGAGGGAGCATAGCCAAGAGAGCTGACCTGAACTGGCCAAAGATATTCCACACCATAAAGAGTCATGCTCAGGACATAAACTGGGGGAAATTGGCCAGGAGGGACCAATCATTGCTGGGCATCATTCAGAGGGTGGTGAGCAACTGTGTGGTGAATCACTTGTTTCTCTTGGGGCTTATTCCTCTCTCTCTCTGTCCACCTTTTTCAGTCAAATTATTACTATCATTGTTATCCTTACTATATTTTACTTTGTTTCAATTATTAAACTGTTCTTATCTCAATTATTAAACTCAGAACTCATGTTCTCTTCTCAACCCATGAGTTTCTTCTGTTTTTTCTCCAGTTCTCCTCCCATTCTTGTCAGGATGATGGAGGACTGGGCGAGCTCATTTATTCCCTAGTCTTTTTTTTTTTTTTTTTTTGAGTGAATGAATTTGTTCCCTTTGAAACAATACCTGTCAGCAGTTCTGAAATAGTTTAGTCCAGATACCTTCCCAATGAGCAGTGTGAGTGTGAATGAGACTACAGCAGATTTGGCTGCTCCTGTTCCCATTTTGGTCCTGGGTTTTGAGCATTCTCAAATACTTTCACACGCCATGGCAGCAGCTGTGCAACACAGGTTCAGGTTACAAGGGCACCACTTGGTCTTGTGATGCCACAGACATCCAAGACATTGCCTTGGATGCTTTGCAAGACAGTCCCTACTTCTTGACACAGAGAGAAAATTATTATATTGCATCCAGGACTCAAGGCCAAATGCTGTGTAGGGTGGGCATGCCTTCATACTCCTAGTCCTGCGCAGAGTCAGTAATGCTGCTCTTGTGACTTGGTTTGGAGTGAGGGGCCAATTTTTGGGTTGGATGCATTTAACTGAATTTTCCAATCTAGCTTTTTATCCAGTACAGACTTCAGAATAAGACAATCAACTAAAGGAGGGCATGTGAGAAGACAAAAATAAGAGAATGAAGCAGATCAATGTGTATGGCAAGACAAAACTAAAATCCTGCAACTACAGGAGTTATATGCACAATTGTTTATTCTCAAGGTGATTACAAAACCCCAGGAGAAGATGAGCTGTAAGCCCACAGCCAGCCATAATCTGGCTGGGATGCTCACCCTGCACTTGCTAGAAACAGCTATGAGCTGACTGTATGCACCAGCTGGAGCAGAGCTGAAGCCTCTTCCTCCAAGGAGAGTGAAGCTGGCCAAGAACATCTATCACCACATGGCAGCACCCACAACCTGTCACAAGGAACACGTGATCTCCCCCTGGTCCCACCACCACCTTGATGCTCGTGGGCTCAAACAACAGGAACCTGAGTCTGTAGGGTGCAGATGAGCATTGGCACTTTTCATCTTCATCCTGAGAGGTGGCATTTTTAGCTGCAGAAGCAGTGCAGGGAAATGGAAGCAACTTTGTGAGTACATATGAAGCAAGAAAAAAAAAAAGTCACATAATCTCTTGGACTTGTTTGCAGCATGTCTGTACCAGGACCAGGGAGGGTTTATCCCCACCAGAGGCAATTCAGAGTTAGTCCCCACAGGTTTGAGGCTCATCTGTAACTTGCTTAAAAAAAAAATAGGGGAGGGGCAGCCAAATGTATGAAGGCACAGAAATCATGACATCTGGGTGGGATAACCAGGGGACAAATCCTCCTGTATTTTACAGTCTGTGCTACGTAACAGCAGCTCAGAGCTTCAGGCCCAGCCCACTGATGACTGCTCTGGCCCCACTTCAGCTAAGGAGCATGCAGTAAAATTGATTACAGATGTCAGATTTGGTCACAGAGTGGTTGTAGCCCTTCAGGCAATCCATCCATCCCTTCCAGAAACAAAGTCCAAGCCAAAGCAAAGCAGATCCTTCCCCTCTGCCTCTGTGGCTGGGGTTGCTTCAGGCTTCATCCTCCTCCACCTTTTGCTGCTCCTCACTCAGTTTAGGCTTTCCCGGGCTGCAGAAGTCCTTCCCTGCTCCTGGCTGACATAGATTCCTGCTAAACTCCTTCAGCCACTGGGGGCCCAACCCTTCAGCCACCGTCACCACCTTGCACACACATGCCCTGCTCAACAAGAGGAGAATTTTCATTAAGATTTTGAAGAAGAGCTGCTGCACAAGGAAACCTTGATTTCTTGGTGCTGTTTGGAGCAGGGATTCTCCCACTCACACGGGGTGGCTGACAGGTGTCTGGAGCACTCAGTCATCCTTCCTCAAGCTGAATGGTGTCAGAGGTGCAGCTGCACACGTGGGCATAGAAACAAGGCAGAAACAAAGGTTAAGTAATACCTATCAACACTGACAGATGAGTTGCCTCTTCTTCCTCAGAAGTATCTGGGTGCTTCATCCACACTGAAGGTAGACATTGCATCCAGCACTTTGCATTTCAATTGATGGAGAACATGAATAGTGTCAGATTGCTCAGGACATTATCTTTTGGTGTTTTGATTTCAAAAATGAAAGCTACCAAATCAGTACCATAAAGATCCTCTTATTACAGATAACAGGAATTGCTGCATTATTGCTCTGTCCTACCACTTGTAGTACTCAATGGCTTATTGCCTCTGAAGAATATCTCTATCATGTAACTGTGTCTGTGCTGTGTTTGCACGGCATATGAGAACTATTACTGCTCTGAACTCCCTCTTTGGGCTGGCTGGGGATACAAAAATAGACCTGATCAGGAAATTATGCTTGGTGAAAATGCTCTATAGTTTCCAAATTTTCCTGTTTAAAGGGAGCAACAAAATTCTCGTAGCTGAAAATTGGCCAATACTTCCCTATTCTTAGCAGAATACCTGCATTTCACTGTGAGATACCCATTTTCTCCAGGGGAGATAAAGAACTATGCTTCTTACACCGGCCTTTGAACTGATACATGATTTGAACTAAAATCTATCCTGAAGAGCCTTAAGTTTTAGCTTGGAGGAATGAGCATCAGATAGCTGAGGCACATGAAAAGAACTTCAGTGTTACCAGTATTTATTATTAACTTTGAAGCATCAGGATGTGCTATGTCCACGTGCCTTTGGGTCTGTGTTTGTACTAAGCATAGGCATGTTTCATTTAAATGTGTATTCTCTTGTCCCTGGTTTTGTTCCCCTTGCTGTGTCTCAGGAGTGTGCCAAACACCTTAATCTGCTTAGCAGAGTCCTTTTCAGCTAGAGGACACCCTCTGCTACCTCTGAGCAAGGGAAGAGGTGCAATGCCCAGCTGTGGAATGGCACGAGGAAACACAGAGCTACCACAGCTGCTAGAACCACGAGACCGAGTCTCTGATTCAGTGATTCGTGGCTGTGAATTTCACAGATTCACTAAATATAGCTGGATGATGATTCGTAACAGTAAATTGCTCCAGCCGGCAGGCCCAGGCGTCCTGCCTTTCCCCAGAGGCAGCTGATGGGCGAGAGTGCTCAGGAATACACCTTCCCACTCCCAAAAACTGTGAAAGATGAGGCACTGGCACCAGCGCTGCTAAACCGTGTCTCGTATCTAACGCTCTGTCTACGTGACAAAGCACAGGACACTCCAAAGATGCTCCGTCAATGCTGTGCACCACGAAACCCCGTTTGAGGTGAAAATGAGCAGAAACCACCTGGAGCGAAGCCTTAACTTCCCCTTCCCCTATCCTTGGCAGTGTTGGGGCGCCTCCCGGCTCGGGACAGGGGTTGCCCCTGCGGGCCGGGCTGCCCGGGCGGCACAGCGGGAGCGGCGGCTCGGCCGTGCCCGCGGCTGCCATGCGTGCTTGGCGCGCCGGGGCTGCCCGCGGCTCGCGGCTCCCCGCGCCTCCGCTCCACGGCGGCCGGGCCGGGCCGGTGCGCGCTGCGGCTGCCGCTGCCTGCCCCGCTGGCAGGTAGGGCCGGCCGGCTGCGGGGTGCGCAGGAGTCCCTGTGCGCCTGTGTGGCGTGTGAACGTGTGTGTGTGCGTGTGCGCTCCGCCCGGCCCCGGCAGGCTGCCGAGCCGCAGCGGCGGAGGCGGCGGCAGCAGCCGCGGAGGTACCGCTAGCTCTGGCGGTGGGGCGGGGGGCCGCAGGTAGCGGCGGCGAGGGTCACGGCCAGCGGAGCCGCGGGGCCGGGAGGGCGGCGGAGCCGGCGGGAACGAGTCCCTGGGCGGGCGGGGGGCGGCTCGGGGACCACCCGCGGAGCCGGCGCGGAGCCCCGGCCAGCGGCGAGGCGGAGCGGCTCTCTCTCGTTGCAGGTGGCGGCGAACCGGATGCCTTTGGCGGGCAGAAGATGTGTCATGGGAAGCAGCCGAGCGGCGGCGGTGCCCTCCTGGCGGCGAGGCGGCGGGCGCTGGCCACGGCGCTGTGGCTGCAGTTGGCGCTGAGCCTCGGCCCGGGGCTGGCGGCGGGCGGTGAGTGAGTGAGGTGCCCTGGCCCCGTCCCCAATCCCCTCCTCCGCCCGGCCCCGGCCCGCGCCACCCCATCCCCAGCCGACCCCGCAGCCCCGACCCGAGGAGAGCAGGAAAGTTCCCCCCCCGCGCCCCCCACCCCCTCCCGTGCCCGCCGCGGGGACGCGCAGCTTTTGGCACCCTGCGTGGGGACCGCCGGCAGGAGGGAGCACTGGCTCTCTGTAAGTACTGCTTCATTTTGAAACAGCATAATTTTTTTGAATCTAAAGCGGAAAAAAAAAAAAACAAAACCTTGCCCCGCCGTGGTCCGCTCCGACGTCTCTTGGATGACTCTCGGTGCAAAATCCCCGTGCAGCTGGGGAAAGCAGGAATTTGGGGAGAAAGGTGGTGATTCGGATTTGCAAATGCAACGTCCTTCAGCACTCTCCTAGTAGAGGAGCGACCCAGCCTTATTTGGCCTTTTTAATTTTAATTACCTTTTTAACACTATAATTTAAATCATTGAGCCTGTGAGACATTTCAGGAGGTACTTTTAATTACAAAATTGTTTTAAATTGATTTCATAATTAGACTTGGATTACTGGAAAAATCCTAAAGTAAACTGCTTTGCTGCAAAATGAACTTAGCTGTGATATGAGAGCAGCTTCACATTCCTACTCCAGCATGGTATTATATATTTGTGTTGGGGGAATAAGCCATTTTTATGATTGAATCACATGACTAATGGCAGGCAGAGCCCGATATAAAAATTGCTTGAGCTTCTTCTTCTCATGCCAAAGATTTATGCCAAAATTTTCTAACTTGTATGCCTAAGCTACAACAGCTCTAGTCCAGATGTGTTTTCTGTCACTGAATATGGACTTACAGGAGTATGGCTGAAGAGAGCTTCAAAAGGTCATCTTGTCCATCCTCCTCCTGATTCAGCCCTATATTTCTCTCTGGAGATGATAATGCCATTTTCCAATAGAAATCCTATGACTGCAAATGTGATTCCAGCTAAAAAAGCTTTTAAACCGTTGCAGTCACTACATACCCCTCTTTAAAAGTCAATGCCTTTTTATTTTTAAGATTTATTTTATTACAACTGTGCAACCTTGATTTCCTGGGCAGTTCATGTTTCAGTGTCGTGGCGCTATTCAGCCTGTCCTGTGCCTTTCTTGGGATTGGAGTTGTGCGTGCTTCTTTCCTTCTCTAACCTTCTTATGGCTCCATTCATAAAAATGAAGCTGCTCCAAGGCCCCCTCCCCCCTGAGGCTCTGCATATCCCACAGTTTGATTGTCAGCACTTATCTGGCCAATTAGTGCAAAAGTTTCTTCAAAATATGGTTTATATCTCCCTCAAATTGAATAGTTTCCATCCCAGCCTGCAATAAATTGTTGTGCGATGCTGATCGTTACTAATGCCACTGCCTTTCACCTCAGTGGTGTAACTAATTCTGTATCAAATTTCATTTGTAAATCACTTTAGTATCTTTCAATAATTTGGGAGTATTTTTGGACAGAGTCTAGGAAAAGGCAATGCACTGAATGATTGTTCATGGGCATAATCACTAGTGAAAAACATTCATTGCTGTTCTGTTTATTGCTATTATTTTCCAGTGTGGTTGTGCTCAGAAGGTAGGCACTGTATAAATCCCAGCAAAGATATAGTCCTTTCATGTGGTAGAATATGCAGTTGTTGGGTTTCTTTCACCCTGAGTCATTTGAGTGGTAAAAATAATGAGCTTTGTAATTAGAGCAGAGGACTGTGAATTAGCATCCCTCCTATTTTAGGCTCTGTTGTATCTGTGAGCAGGCTCACTGTACTTATGTAGCTTGCTGTGTTTGCTGTGGGGGCTCAGCTTTCAGCTCCCCAGCCTGTGACCCAGAGTTTGGGAACTCTGTATGCAGCTGTTGACCAAAGTTGTGATTTTCTGGTACCGTTGAAAATTTAATTTCTGTAGGACTCATTTTATGGATCTGTGTATTTAGACACAAGGCACGTGGCATTACTGACTAGTTTGGAAAATGTAGCTCCAGTCTCCTTCTATCTTCTCATTATCTGTTAAATGAGGATAATCATACTTCTCTCAGAGATTAGAAAAGAGTTTTGATGACATTTAATGAAAATACTATGGAGGTGGAAAGAATTAGTTTCAAAAGCTTTAGAAAAACAGCACTGTCAATATGCTGAAATAAAAACTGCCTCACATATTAAAACATTAAAATGAATAATTTAGGGTTATTTTTTCTAAAAAGCAATCTACAGCTTATATTTTGGATCCCATTTACAGATTCTTCCCTTCCTTGGCTGATACAGGATTTGTCTCCTGTAATAATCCTGTAATGACTTGTGTGTCTTTGTCTATCTTATATCTGACTAAGCTCTATTGATTGTCACGTTCTACCATTTCACCCCAAATCAATACTACTTATAACTCTTTCTTTCTTGTCAATAACCCTACAGAGAATAACTTTGTTACACATTGACTTTTGCAAAAGTGAATCTAGTGAAAAAATTTGCTGTAGAAGTGAACTCAAATGAGCAAACCTTTCAGCTATCAATATCCCTCAGTCATCCCTGATGTATTAAAAACTCTGTTGCTACTGAGGATAAAGTGTATCTCTCATACTTAGCCTGTGGCTTTCATCTAGTCATTTCTCTTTACAGAATCATTTAGGTTGGAAAAGACCTTTAAGATCATCGAAGCAAGTGTTAAACCAGCACGGCTGACGCCACCACTAAAGCGTGGCCCCAAGTGCCACATTTACACATCTTTTAAATGCCCCAGGGGTGGCTGACACAACCATTTCCCTGGGCAGTCTGTTCCAATACTTGATTTCCCTTTTGGTGAAGAAATTGTTTCTAATATCCAGTTTAAACCTCCTCTCGTGCAACTTGAGGCCATTTCCTCCTGTCCTGTTGCTTGTTACCTGGGAGAGGAGACCATCCCCCACCTTTCAGGCTACACCCTCCTTTCAAGTGGTTGTAGAGAGTGATAAGGTCCTCCCTTCAGCCTCATTTTCTCTAGGCTGAACCTCCCCAGCTCCCTCAGCTGCTCCTCATCAGGAGGTACAAAAATAGGACAAAGCAGGAGCAGGTTGAGAAGTCTGGTATGAGGAGAAATTAAATGTGTAGTGGATGGAGCAGATGACAACTTACCCTGGAGTTTTAAGGTATTGTACAGAGTTCACTGTGAAACTAGTATGGAGAAAATAGCTGTAATGATGAATTTTTACATATATTTCAAATTCCTGCAACTATATTAAAATGATGGAGAATGATGAAATCTCAAAGGAGAAGGAGAAAAAAAGTTCAATAAGCTTCTGGTTTTGAGATTTGTTGTGTTGTCTTGTACCCAGATGTCACTTGAGCATGTGTCTGCTTGGTTGTCATGGGTCAGTTGGGTGAACTATGTTCTTCTGCAGGGCCCAGTGGGGAGTCTCAGGCCTGCAGCACACATCACCACAGGCTTGGAGGGGGCCATGACCTCGTTTTGCCTCCTGGCCTCGAGCAGTGTTAGCATTCTGGTTGTATTTCATGGTGTGTTTAATCTCTTTGACATTCTGCTGCAGAAATGCACACTCCAGTTCCTCCAAAGCCTGGATGGCTCCAGTTTTTCTGAACTTTTCCTAAGTTTTTGTTGTACTTTCTGGATTACTGGTCATTCAGACCATGAGCTTGCTCTCATGGAGCCACTTCTCTGAGGAATGTGCCTCAACTGGCATTGAACAGAGCTGAGGAATATCCTGTGCCTTGGAGCTCTCCTCCTGCTCAGACATCCTGGGTTCCTTTGTTGTCATTACAGGATGATGCTGCATTATATTCAGCTTCTGGTTCCCTGTAGCTCCCAGGGCAAAAAATGCGCTCTTTTTGGCATTGTAATCTGTTGTATTGCACTTAGAGTAATCAATTTATGGTGTTTCCCTGGTTTCATGTTCTGCAGGTGACATCCCTGCACATCAGTAGTGCTTTTGTGCAGATGTGCTGGGAAGCACATCATGCACAATTGCAAAGAAATCTGGCATATTGTGAAACCGTCAAAAAAACTGAATATTAGTTATTCCATGAAGAACAGTGGTGAGATTCTTTCTCTGCACTAAGGCTGAATTGTTACTGCTCTGTGATTGTATTATATTTGATTGAAATTTTGGTTATGCCATGGTTATGGTAACTATCCATTGACTTTGGATGTAGTGGCCATCAAAACCACATCCCTCAGGTTTTTGAGGGTAGTGGACTTGTTTACCTGGGGTAATACAAGTGTTTGATATGTGATGATGATGCAGGTCTTTGATAGGGCTGACTTTTTGGTAACCTGCAGTTGTTTCTGGCAAGAAAAGCCAGCCAGAGATTTGCCATAAGTACCTTCTATGTGATTTTGGGATTATAAAGAAGGTTTTCTGAAAACTCTAAATGTTTTCTGATACCCTCTCACTAAGTCTGCAGCTAATGTATTTTACTGTCTCCCTCTCAGTGCGTCTGCTTTTCTTGTCAAGCAAAATAGACGTCTCAGCCTTGAGTTCCTTGTACATTTGATGGAATCATCAGTTGTTTTGTAGGATTTTCTTAACCTCCAGCTTATTGGAGAAGCTCAGTGTTTTGAAAGGATAAGATTTTTCCCACAGTGACAGGATCTTAGTCCCATATGTACCTCATGCAACCTCTGTTCTCAGCAGTTAGTCACTATTTTGGTGCTGCTCTGATTGCACGTGGCAAGGCTGGTGACATCAGAGCATGACAGTTCATCATCTGTCTTAGTGGCACATCCATCTGCCTATAGACTTGAGAGACGTGGGCATATTTGATAAATTAATCTTAAATCAGTTTCTTAGCACTGTGCTAGAAGGAGCTTTATCACTGATGTGTTGTGTCATTTGGAGGCTGAGGTTAACTTTTGCTTTGCTGCTTCGCTCCCTTACTCCCAGGATTGCAATAGAGTATCTTTGATCTCTGTATTAGAGATGATTACAACTTTAGGAGAATTAATTATGCTTTGCTTGATTTTCTCATCTATAAAGTA